GAACTTGTTGGTTTAACAATTTTTTTTATACTCTTCCCAGTTTTTCAGCTTTTAGCTGAACTTTGCAACATATTTCGAGATTTTTTTTAAAAATATATATATATATATATAAATCATAAATATATAAGAAGGAAAACAATTTTTTTTTTGCAATATCGTAATTTTTATTTATATATATTTTAAAGTCAACAACATATTCCATTTTTTTTTTTTGATGATTTTCGTTTGTCTGCTGATCCATATATCTTATCTACATAAATGCGTTTTTTTTGCTTTCGCAGCAAATGAATATCAAATTCATAGAACTCTCTCTTTGAAAGAGTATTTTTTTTTTTCGAAGCTGACGCCTGGTTGTCTGTTGAATCAATTTGTTTGTTGCGGGCAGTTTTTTTTAGACTTACTAATAAGCATTTTTACATATCCTGTAGTCAATTTAGAACTATCTCCCTCTTTCTGATTATCTCGCTCTCTATATGGTAATTATGCAAATGTTTTCGACAGCCAAATAAGTTTTTAGGGGGGCAATTAATCTAACTAGAAAATCCCCCAGCCCCTTAAGGCTTTGATGTTTTTTTTGACACACGCCATGGGCATTCGAGGCGACACTGAATACTTGATTGCACATTAAATTAGCTAGAGTCGATCGAAGCCAGAATGAAATAGCCATTAATTTTAACAAGCAACTCATATTTTTTTTTTCATTCATTCACTCAATGTGTAATCGAATACTCACTTTCGCACGCTGCTACAGAGAAATAAAAATAATATTCCTGCTCGTGTATACTTAATTATATATTTGTTTATTCATAGAGCTTACTGCCAGCAAGGAACAACAGCTCGAACAGCTCATCAATTTATATAGACTTTGATTTGGCTTGATTTATTGGTTTTACATGTGTTTCGAATTATGCACGTGCGACATAGATTCTTGTATAAGAGGAGTTTAATCCCAACACTTAGCCTACAAAGTAAGTTTCTAAAACAAGTTTTAGTCTTAAAAATAGAATAATAATTAATGATTAAGACAGGTTTCAATCGAAATGTTTTAACTTCTTAATTTATAAGGTGTTACATTCAAAGCTTAAACAACTGAGAATCACATATTAAAGATATACATTTTTTTATGTTGATTGATGATTGATGGCATAAACTCTATGATCTATTTAATATAAACAAGTTTTTTTCAACTGAACAGGTTTATTAACAATATAACTCACTTTGCTGCACCTTAAACTTGAGCCTTTTGATTACGCCGACAATTATGGGTCGATAGAAGTCTCTGTCAAAGTAAAAAGATATTTTTTTTTATATTAAATAAACGTAAAATACATTAATCTTACCAGAAACTTTTTATCAATGTTTTTTTTTTAACAGGGACGCCTAAAGACATCCTGCCGCACTAGGACATACCGCACGCCACGTTTTTTTTATGAGCTTGTGCAGCAGTATGTTCCTAGACGGCCCTGCTGAGTCCTACCATGGTTTTTTTATTGTGTAATAATGGCTATATTTGGAAATCAATCAGTCAAAATTTTGCAGAAAAGAATCAAAGTAATTTTTTGGATGACAGATTCATGACAGAGTTCAAAAGGAACTGCTTGTTATTTTTTTACTATGAAGTTCTTTTTACAAAGCTGTCAAATATTTCCAATGCATACGAATTGATTTTTTTGATTGTTCATTCCTGTGGCTAAGTTACGTTTAAGGGTCAGCCATTGGATCTTCATATTAAAAACCAGGATTCTCTAAAAAGTTCTATTGACGGTTCAACCAAAATTGAGCTCCACCGAATAATTCCTAATTATTTCAATCACACATAAATATATATATATGTATATCTATTAACCATTTTTTTCATGTGCCACCATGTGCTATTGACAGCAAATAATATAATATTATTAATTACACTTTTTTTTTTATTTTACTGTCCTTCAGTTGACTTCATGTTAACATTTAATTACTTAAGTTTTTTTTTTTGCAAACGAGTGTAAATGGGGCATTCCAAAGAGCTGAAATTGCCAGGCATTTAGGTCACCGCCGAGAAGTATGCTTTAATTTATTTCAACTATTGATTGCCGCATCTGCTTGAAACACTCACGCACACACATTCAGTATGTGTGAATGTGACGCAAAAGCCAAGCCATTGACATAAATAACAAGCGCTTGGATTTGAGAGTCTGCTGAGGGGTTAGCCCGTCATCGAGAACGCGCATAGTTAGATAGATTTCTGTTAGCTTTTCCGGGCGCCGTTGCGTGGGAAATGCTACCCGGAAAGTGCAGCCCTTGGCCGGCTTACATAGATACGTGGGCGGCTGCCGCTGCTGCTGCCGCTGCTGACATATGCCGCTAATGGTGGCTGACTCCTACGCACAAAAGTGATTCATGTGATTCAACACTCGTTTATGCACACACAAAGATTCCAAGTGCCTCTCTCTCTCTCTCTCTCTCTCTCTCTCTCTCTCTCTCTCTCTCTGCCTCACACTCTCTATATGGCTTTCGTTGGAGAGTCAGTCAAGGGTTCAGGACTTGTGCCGCCACAATGATGATGCATGGCTCTGTCCATATGTTCGTCCCTTATCTGCTGCGCATCTTTATGAGTCTCTTTTGCAATCGAAGGACCACTTGGCATTGGCTCTGGCTATAGCTATGGCTATGGCTGTGGTTTCGGATATCTCATGGACATGTCGACCCGTTCATTTGTGCAGGGCAAACATTGCTTCATGATAAATCGCTGATTTTAAGTGGCTGGCGACGTTCTAATGCCTATGGGGCATGTGGCACAAGGCATGCGGCATGCGGCATGCGGCATGTGGCATGTGGCTATGGGGAATATGCCATTCCACTGGACAGCAACAACATTTCACATTGCCAAATTTGGCGCACGTTCTGGCGCCACACCACATGCACACACACACACACACAGAGAGAGGGGGAGAAAGGGAGAATGAGAGGGAGACAGACATCAGCAGACATACGCTCCAATTATACACGCACCGTATTGGCAATCGGGCATTTGCGCCAATATGGACAGGTTCGCGCCTGATAAGGCACGAGCACGCGTCGTCGTCTATCCAGGCTGGCGTCGTCTCTCCAGGCGACCAACACGCGGAAGCAACAAAATGCCGCAACACAGTCGGTGGCCGATGAACGTTCAGCAGATGTCGAAACATTCAACTCGATTCTGTTGAAGACGACGTGCATCAATCAGTGTTGCCAATTGTCCGATTGTCCAGCCAGCTGCCGGCGTTGCCTCGTTGCGCATGCGCTGCACGTGCCCCGCTGCGGCAGCAATAGCAAAAAGAGCAACAGCAGCAACAGTAACAGCAGCAGCAGCAACTGCGTCTGCGTGTGTTGGTGGCTTTAGTCAATGGAGCGGCCGCAATTTCAGGCTCGCACAAGATTGTATTTCAGTCTAAATCGACGTCGATTTACGAGCTTATTGTGCTTAAGCAGCGCCGAGCACTGCCTTCCAAGAAATGCCTCCATATGTCCATAAGCCCCGAGGCGGAGGCAAATGATTGCCCCGTTCAAATTACACACAAAGTTGTGCACGGCCCTAGACAACTTTGACAAGTATTGCTAAGCAAACATGCATAAATTGATTGCGATTGTGTGGTGTGTGTGTGTGTGTCCAATTGTATGTCTGCATTGCTTTATACATATGTATTTCTGTTTCTGATTTCTGTTTTTTTTTTTTTGTAACTCAACGCTCAGTCTCCAAGAGCAGCGCCCATTGCCACCAAGTGTCGAGCCACCACTTCCTTCCGTCTGCGGCCCCAACGGCAGCCACCCTAGACGCAGTGTCGTCGCCTCTTGTCGCAATTGTTTTTGGGTTCGTGCCTGCGAATCTGATGCCACTTGAACATAAACAAAGCAACAACATCATCATAAACATTATACATATATACACAATCCGAAATGGCCAACCCGCGGAATTCAATCGAAGCGTCTACGCGAGCTGGATTTTACTTGCGTCTTGTGTACACCCATTAAATAAAAGTATTCAAACATGATCTTAATTGGCACTTTCTTAGGCGTTTAATTACAGTATAATAAAACGGACGAGAGAAGGTTTTCGTTTATGTTATATATAGTATAGCTAGATTTACATTCATTGCTTTACAGAAGCATTCGTAGATATCTGTTGACTGGAAATTCATTCACACAGACAACTTAAATCCTCATCCTTTATTTGGAATACGTTTTGTATGTCATCAACAATTCCAAACGGTTCGGCACTTAGTTTACTTATATTTTCTTATACTTTTTGTTTTTGCCGTTTCCTATTTGATATCTATCTATGCATTAAAAAGATTTTTCTATAAATCTGTTCATCCTTTTTTTTAAAGGCCTAGTATTTTCTGCAATAATATATATAAAAATATTTTTAAATTCCCAAATATCCATATTTCTATTTTACCCACATTTTCCCTGCTATAAATATTAAACACAACATTTAAAATTTTTTATAATTTATTTTGTTTCTTGCATTTAAATTTGTTTTTTTTTTTTTTTTTTTTTTTTTTTTTTTTTTTTTTTTTTTTTTTTTTTTTGTTAAAGAGTTTAGTGTATTTAAGCATATATTTGTCGTACATTTACAGATCCAGCCATATTATATTAAAAGAACTTGATTAATTTATTATAAATATTGGAAAATGACAATAAACTTGTGTAACTTGGATCGAACTTTATAAATATTAACACAGTTTATTTTACTTGATTTTCATTTTTATTTTGATTGGAATAGTATAAAGTTTTAGATTTGAGTTAGTAATATATATATTTATATAGAAAGAGGAATAGAGAGAAAGGGAAAGAGAGTTGTAGGGAGAGAGGGAAGAGTTAAGTATAGTTGGAGAGATTTTCTTCCGGTAGCAAATTTTGCAAGATTAAAGTGAGATTTAAACTAAGCAAAAATACTGTTTGTGCAATTTTCATAAATGTTTAAAGCTTAAATTTTAAGCAAAACTAACATTTATTTAACTAACATTACGAATAGTAAATAGTTTAATATATATATAGTATAAGTACACTAAGTTATCGTTATCGAGTTAAGTAATCGAGTAGTATGAAGTTTATTTAAGCGATAATACACACATACAAATACATTAAAAAACCATAGAGTAACAGACACATAACATACTCTCAAGTAGTACTTAGGCCGGACTCAAATTTCTTTAGAACTTATCAACTAAAATAAATAAAACTTATCGAACTAAACAAAATGGCGACAACGAATGCATTTTATGAATGTATGGATCAGGCGGCAAGCATGAGATGGTTCGCTAACAGAGTATGTATATAACACCAGAGAGATTGTCGCGGATGTCGGACCTGGGGTGGATGATAATGCTTAGCTTAATACTGGTGCTGTCATGGGTGCGTATACGCGATTCAACTAAGAGTACATACAAATCAAATGTCGTATCTGGAACTTTGCCTCTAACCATGCTAACGAACTGCCCAATGACACTGGCTGAAAGCTTAAGCTTGGCTGGGATAGCGACAAAAGCAAGCTCAGTTGATAAGCTAGCTCAAAGCTGGGCGAAAGCTTTTTATTATTTTGCTACAGCTCGTATCATTGGCATTTCAGGTAATGTTTTTAGCCTGCTTGAGAATTTGTGTGTGTGCATGCGTGTGTGTTGGCTGTGTGAGTGTGAGTGTGTGAGAGTATAGAAACTAAATTATAATTAAATCCATGCTCAGTGCTTAGTGTATGGGCGGCGGCGTGCGAGCCGGCGCACGCGGCCTTAAAAATTTATTGGGTACATGTTTCTTGATGTATTCATTTTCCTGCAGCTCGTYCTGCTGTCGTCGCCGCTGCTGCTGCTGCAGTCGGTGCTGTTGTTGCTTGCGGCGTCGCGCCTTGTACGCACCGCCAGCACCGGCGCCTCCAGTGAGTAAACTCGGATCCCCGTAGAAGCTGTTGCCGCGATAGTTGGCATCGGTGGCGTTGCGCCGCCAGCTGCCCAGGGGGCAATTGGTCGCAGTACGCCAGTCGGGCAGCTGGACGCCGAGGCGGCGGCACTCGTGGGCATAGGCAGCAAAGCTGTCGCAGTGGCAGCTGCCCGTGGGGCACTCGCAGACGTCCATGCGGCAGGAGTCGATGTAGTTCGTGGGATTAAGTCTACTATCACAGTTTCCAAATACTTCCGAGATGCGCAGCGGCCGGCAATAGAAGTTGGGCTTACGCTTGTTGCACGTCGGCTGCGCCACGATATTATCCCTCAGCCTGGAGCACGACTTCGGTCCGCCCACCTTCCATGAGTTGGCAAAGTGCCACACCTCATCGTCGCTGTGTGAGTGCCCATCCCTGCCCGTCAGATCGTCCCGCCCGCTGCCATTGTAGTTGCCGCACAGCCCGCACAGGTGGCGCTTGTACTGCGCCGGCACCGACACCTGCAGAAAGTTGTTGCCATCCCACTCGATGCTCAGTCCCAGCTCCGTCCTCAGCATAATGCCACCCTCCGCCAGGCGCTCGATGCTCACATTGTGGCCATGGCCATTCTCGCTGCTGCTGCTGCTGTGGTCCGCATAGGGCAGCGTGACCCGCGTGCCGTTCACTTTGACTCTCAGCTTCTGGCCGAGATTGATGCGTAGTCCGCGCAGCTTGAGCGTCACCGTCTTGGGCCAGGACGAGCGCCGCGTGCCACGCCCATCGTTAGTCAGCCGTATGGAGAAGTTGTGACCGTAACAATCAGCGGCCAGCAAATACTTGCAACTGCCCTGAAAATGAAAGCGATAAAGATTGAGTTTTTAGGAATTGCAGATATGATATATGTATATATATTTCTTATAAAATAATAATTGGAAGAATGATGTGAATTCCTTCACTACCTAATGAAGGATTATTTTTAGAGACTGACTTTACGGCCATTTCACTTGTTATCTAATAAAAACCCAGATTGATGGGAAACTAAAAAACATTATGTTCGGCGTTGTCCGTCTCTCATAAGGCCTTTAACAAGTTGATCGTAGATAAGGCTGGCTGTCTTCTCAATTTCTTAATTAGCAGAACAAACTGACAGCTGGAGACATGTTCAGTTAATTTGTAATTTAATTATGACCTTTGGCAGAGGGTTTTATGTAACTGCATTTCAAAGTTGGGACAATCCCTTTTTTCCCATTAAAGCCATAAAAACTGACTACTGTGAAAAACCGATTGGACGTAGTTTCTGGCTGAACAAGCTTTTTAAAGCTATTAAATTTATAGCTAATAAAATGTGAACGATTAAAAAAAAAGACAAGAAATAAAATGATGATGGTGAGAGTATATATATGTAGTTGCCTGTTCATTCTGTAATTAATTACAAGTTATTTCGCTACGCTCCGCTACGCTTATTTTGACACCCCTTATTTTCACTTAATTTTAACGGACTTTATGTCCGTCGATATGATCGCTCTTAGCGGGTGGTCAGCCGCCAACTGGAAACTGCAGCTATGGATATTAGTGGAATACTCAGTCAATGCGAATGGGCCATAAAAATAGCTTGTCTATGCAAATCGAATGGCCGTATAAAAGTCTGCTTTAAGCGGCTAATTTATATGTTAGTTTTATAAGTACGACGGACGAGTAAGTAATTATATATCAATTGCCATTAAATGGCTTATTTTAATTTATGCCCATTAATGTCAGTTCGCGTTACGCTCATTGACAATTTGTAATCAATATCGAAATGTCACTCACTTGGAAGCTGAAGAATTTGCCGTCGAAGGTCTTGAAGTGCGGGTCGCCGAAGACCGTGCAAGTGCCGGCAGTTTCGAGGCACTTGGGACAGCACTCGTCGGCGGGCACCTTCAGTTCCTCGTTGGGTCGACACTTGACCGGCTGGCAGCGCATCTCCGAGCAGCGGATGTTGCCGCCAATGCAGCGGCAGCTGCGGCAGGGTCCCATGTTCCAGGTCTCGTTGTTCATGTAGGTGACGCCCTGGGCGGTGCACTCGCTGCGCACCTCGGCCACAATGCAGCGCGGACAGCAGCCGTCCTCCTCCTGGAACTCCGGCGCACACTCCAGTATGGGGCATGTGGCACGCTGGCAAATCGATGTGCCGTTCAGGCAGGTGCAATTAGTGCAGCGATCCGGCGTAAACTGCGTCTTGTCGTAGTACAGCTTATTGTTGAATATGCACTTGCCTGCAAAGACAAATGGGTGAAAGCAGATCTGTGAGCAGCTGTGCTTTTGTCTACCAATTCGACGGTGGAGGTGGGGCTGGGTACTGGGTACTCACCTTTGACTGCCACAAATTCGCGCTGTTCGGTGCAGCGTGGGCAGCACTCGTTGGGCAGCTGCTTCTGCTTCGTTTTGGGGCACTGGAGTATGGGGCAAGTCTTTTTGGCACAGCTCAACTTGTTGCCGCTGCATTGGCAGACCAAGCAGCGATCGTCGATCGAGGCGACAACCTCTTGGCCTTCGGCAACGGTCTGGCCATTGATCTTGCAACCTGCAAAGTGTACAACAACAACAACGTGATTTTCATCAGACAACGGTTTAAAAAACGTATTATTTGTCTTCTTCTTGATGTATATGTATATGTGTGTGTGTGTGTGTGTGAGTGTGTGTATGTTTTTTTGGGCGACTGCCAAGAAAATTTCCACATGTCGAAACGGGTTTCCAAGCGATCTATTTGCATAGGCAGAGGGCCGTGCGTACCAAATATACCCTGTACGCATAAAGCTGCATTCGATGGGGTAATTTAGTGTTGCATAATTATATGACAGACAGCTGGCTTTCTCTGCAGTGCATGTCAACTTTTCGAGGGTATTATAATTGTGTGATGAAATGAGTGAGGCAATGAGGCAATGAGATGTTGCCAATAGCATATAGAGTGTTGCTATGAATAATGTTAGTGAATATATTCGTCTGTCTAAGAAAACTTGGTCTATATTCTAGATTTTGGGCATATGAGTTATATCGCTGAAATATATATTTGGCTTTATCGTTGTGATAGGAACTATTAAAATGTCTTTAATGTCCTTGAAAGTCTGTAAAGATTATTAAAATAAATTCCTGCTTAAGTTTATATTTCTATTATATTTACTTATTTTTGTGCGCTGTTCTATATTATTATAGAAAACCAATCAAATTTACTGCAGGGTATCTGCAGGTCCATCAAATATTTGCTTAAAAGTTGCTCTGTTTTGTTTGGAACGCAATGCCACATTGTCGACTTAATAGACAATTTAAAGCCCATAAATAAGCAAATCGTGCAGAGTCACAAAATAGATACAAATAAAACATAAAATAAAATGAAAAAAAAAAAAAATAAATAAAATAAAAGCAAAAAAAAAAGGGAAAAAAATTTTGACCATCTGTGCACAGATCGTTTTTGGACTATTTTGTCAGACGAACTGATGAATTAAGTGGCATTATTAGTATTTGGGGTGTTGCTGCTGCTGCTGGKGCTGCTAATTTTAGTGAGTGACTAGTCGAGTGGCTGAACTAGTTGACAGATTGCGACAAGTCGACTTACCCTGACATGTTGGACAGCATTCGCCGGGGCGTGGCGCTGTCAACTGATTATCGTCGCACTGTGAATAACATTTCTGTGTTGTTTCGGTGACAACACTGGCGATGCACTTGTACGTCTTGCAGGGTTCATCCGGGTCGCTCCATTCAGCGCCGCTCGCATAGGGCACTCCGCGATATATGCAGCCTAATTGGAGCAAGAGGTTAATTAGGGCTAGGTGCTCTTCGCATGCCATTGCATTGCGCTTACCTTTGCACTTGCGACAGCAGGTGTCGTTGGATGATTTGGAGTCGAGCAAATAGCAATCATCAATTGAGGGGCAGCTCTTGTCGCAGTTCACAAAGCCATTCTGCAAGAGAAGAGAGAAAAACCTTTTGTTAGCCTCCAATTGCTGTGTGAATTAGATCAGCTTGCCCCACACCATCTTCCCCTCCCTAACGGCCATTTGGCGTATGCGCTTAATCATGTGAGAGATTGCTGTCAAATGCTCAACGTAGCCGAGCACTCGATTTGTATTCAGCTACACCTCGATCTCCCCTCGCCACCTGCGGCCGAAGTGTGGCTGCACCTGCAGTTGTTCACTCGCTTTGGCGCTCACACAAATTGCATTTGTTCAACCAGGTTGCACTCTGACCTTCGGCAGTCTTGATTATTTATGGATGCAAACGAGTCAAAATTATATGGAATTGAGTGCACACTTTGGGGCGTGGCAAGTGGCCAGCCAAAGGCCATAAGCGACACTTGAGATGCGCTACAACCAGCTTGATGGTTTGCTTGGAATGCGTGCTGAGATGGAGCTTATGGAAAATAGATACGAAATGTGATTGCCTAACAGATTATATGACAGTCGATGATGGAGATTATAAAAGACGAGAAAAAAATGCAAATAATTGAGATGATTAAAATTTATATTTAATACAAAAATATAATAATTAAATGGCTAAATCTAAAGGAAGGTTTTATATAAAATTTTATTATAATAATTTTTTCATGATAGGCAATAGCTAATATGACTAGAAAAGTACTAAATACTACTACTAAAATACGACTATTTTAGTGCTACTGCGCAGAAATTATTATCTAAATTCTACTACTATTTATTCTGCTACTAAAATTCTAATATTTTAATGCTACTTCTCAAAATAATAAATCTAATAAATACCACAATACTAGTACTAAAATACTACTACTAAAATTATTCTATTCAAGTACTACTACTAACATCCTACTCTTTAAATAATAATACTACCTAAACATGACTATTTAAATAATACTAATAAAATTTGAAAGCTAACGTACTTTGAGGAATTTATTTATAAATGAAATGAAAGTGAGTTGTAAAAGAAAAAACTTTAAATTTTAAAGCCAGACAAGATGAACTGGCACTAAATTGCTTTACGAAAATAAAGCTGTCGAAAAACCATTGAGGAAATTGACTGTTTACTCTGATTTGTTGAGCTTTTAGTATTAGTAAATGGCAGCACGCTTTTGCCATAATTTCTAATGATAATAAAATTACAAAAATGTGAAATAATAAATATTATTTTATGTTCAGCAAAGGCCTTCAGTAGACTCAAAGATGCTTAGCATTGATTGCAATCTTAATTAGGGCAGCTAGCGGCTTTATTTGTTCATTTGGCCTAGACTGCAATTGCAGCAGCAGCAGCAGCAGCAGCAGTTAAAGCAGTTGCAGCAATTGTGTTGCTGTGTGATGCAGGTTTGGTTTTGATTTTTATTTTGCGCAATTTTGCTCAGTTTATTTCGTTAACGACATGTTGACAGCGGCAAGCGGCGCATTAGAATTGATGTCGATCATAAGTCAAAAGCTTGTGGCAAGGCTCTGGCAGCTTATGCAACACTCTAATGCGGGCCGCACCGAGCGCACCGAAACTAACTCAAATCAATGGGCGGCTTTAACCCTTGTGCGCGCAGCTGTCGCATGCATGTTTGATGCCCGCTGACAGGTTAAACCGCGAGGAGGACGGAGATGGAGATGGAGATGGAGACGGGGACGGGGCGAAATCTCTAGTGTTGCTGGTGTCTGATGTGAGCCAGAGTCTGAGGCTAATTGTAAATGTATCTATAAATCTAGATAGATGTCGTACCAAAAACAGGCAAAATATTTTACTAATTTGTATGCAGTTGCGGCTGAACAATGTCGCGGCTCAATTGTGTGTGTGTGTGTTAGGTGGTGTGGTGTGTGTGTGTATAATTTAGTGCAAGCAAACCAGATTGGATCTCAATTTGGTTGGAGCCGCCGTCGCAACGTGCAAAATATGCAATTGTTATGAAAATTGTGCCGAGTCGAGAGTTGAGAGTCGAGAGGTGTTTAGTTATTTTTTTTTTTTTTTTTTATATAGTTTTTGCGGTTCCGAGATTTTTATCATCGTATTAGTTTAATGGCAGTTGTTAGTTGGAATTTTAATGGCACCTTTAGTGCGGGCATCGTAACTCTCAGTGCCATAATGCAATAAACACTGACAGATTGAAAAGCACTTTGGTATTATACAGCAACAACAGCAACGGCAACCAGAGAGACAACAAATCCAAAATGTTGACAGCCGTTGGAAAAATTGAAATGGAAATGGAAATGTAAATGCCGATGCTGCGCTGCTAGACAAAGTTCAAATGCTCTTGAATCCGTAGATGCGAGCTTGTGTGAAGCAGCTGAGACGATCTTCACGCATTTCCAGATGCCGATGTTTTTATGCTCTTTGAAATTCTTTCTTTCTAATCTGGAACCGGTATAGAAATATTTCAGACAACATGAAAGTTAAGCATCGCCAAAGCAGCTGTTGTTGTTGTTGCTGCTGATGTTGTCTAGTAGCTGCTAGCAAAGGTTGCTATTAAAAAAAAAAAAGAGGAAAAAAAAAAAAAGAAAAGGCGCCACGAAGGCAGCCAAGCGCGTCCCGGACCCGGCAACGGACAAGCTGCTAAGTAGAGGCTGAGATTTTTCGTTGTTGTTGCTGTTGTTGTTGTTTTTCGCCAGCGGCAATCACGAATGCCAAAGCACATGTGTGTGTGTGTGTGTATGTATATGTGTATGTATATCTATGTGTGCCACAGTGGCAGAACCACATTTGCAAACGGCCTCCAACGACCTTGCGTTTGACAAAACATGATCAGTTTTAACACCAGTCCATTCGGCAGCCGCCACGTTCCCACCTCTGCAGCACCGCCTGCCCCGCAGCCATCGACCCGGTCGCACCGCACCAATCGCACAGTTGGCCAGTGAGCCACTCAAACCGCTCGCTAGTCGCTTGCTCTTGTTGTTGCTGGCTGTTGACTGTTGACTGTTAGCTGCTCAACTTAAACGTTTGCTAGGCAAACTTGGCCAAAGACTCTACTAGACTGTAGACTGTAGACTGTAGACTGGGCTCTCGCTGCGCCTCATAGAATATGGTAATGACAAACTGTGATTTTATTTTGTATGTTCATGTGTGTATTTTGTCACTTGTGGGCTAGTTGTTGAATTTGACTAGCTTGGTAGCTAGTTGGCTCGGATCGGATCGGTTTATATTGGGTTGGGTTAGCTGAGAGCTTAGCTCTGTAAATGTGGAATTTCATTGGATTAACAGTTGTTGGAATTCCAAATTGAGAAGCATGTGGGATATCCTGTATTTTGAGTGTAGAATGTGTTTGGGATTGTGCTTTCAAATTGTCATGGAATGTGTAAGGCATAGAGAACGACTATATAAATATACATACATAGATATAAATATATAGATAAATATATAAAAAATACGCCATACAATCTACAGTTGATATAGCCGTTTGCCCAGCAGAGTATTAAGTCTTCGATCTTTTCTGAATACAAGCTGTTAAGTTTATGAAAAACACTTTTAGCTCTCCCCAATGAAGGAACATATATTTCAATGCTAAAAATGTCTGTGCCTGGCATAAACGGGTCTTCAATGATTTTCATTAGAATCGTTAAGTCATCTTCAATTTAATTAATTTTGATGTTTTTATGAATTATGATTCCTTGACAAGTGACCCTAAAAATAACCTTTTGAGACTAGCTCCCCCATTAATGTATGTGTTTTTTATATAGTTTCTCTAATGTTTCATATAATTTTTTATTTATTTATTTTTCAATACTTTGTTTACTCCTTTTCCCAATTATTAACGATGTCTCTTCCTTAAATTCACTTTTAACACAGTAAACAGACAGTAAAATTTTTAATATGCCACATATTATCATGTTAAGTATTCTTAACTCCTGCTTTCAACAGCTCAAAACTGAGTCATCAGATTATGGAAATAATCGTAAAAAATTCGAACCCCTGCCAACAAGTAAATTTTACTACCGTCCACCTACAATATTCACAGCTCAGTCTCTTTTGAGAAAAAAACTGTATTTGTAAATATCAATCGTAAAAAATAGCTTGCTCAATCAGCTGGCAGAGGCAAGCAAGAAATGAAAAGGGAAACGCTTTAATCATAAGCTATTAGCAGAGCAATGCGCATTCAGCATAATTTTGCCATAAAAACAAAATTTGTTAACAAATTCAAGCGCGAATATGCGAAAGGACGCGCCAGAACAGATGAAAAGCGGGCAATTTATATGATTGTGCCTTGGCAAAGGGAGGGTGGTGGGTTGGCTGGAAGACAACGGCACGCAGGACACGCAGGATGCGCGGATTGTACTTAATATGCGATATCTATACATATATCAAGATATATAAGATAATAAACGTCAGCCATAAAATATCAGCAAATCACCAAAAGCGTTTGCAAATATTACAATGAGACTGAAGAGTGAATGGGCATATGAAAAGTGTGTGAATGTTTGAGTATGTGTGTGAGTGAGAGTGGAGCATGAATAGAAGTAATCATAAAGTGTGTGCTTTATGGCTCTGGCCGCGCATTGGGCTGGCAATTCAATTGCCTAGCCTTGGCGCAGCTTTAAGAGAGCTTAAAGTGCCGGCAAATCAGAAAAAGGAAATAAATGCGCTCAATCGATGCCATTGTGAACTTGCGATGCGCGCGCGCGCAGTCGCAGTTGGAGCGAGAGAGTGAGCACGACCGAGAGAGCGAGTGAACGTGCGGTAGCGGCTGAGCGAGACAGGTAGCTCGGTTAGAGCAGGCGCAACGCATGGCGCCAACAACTTAAAGTGAGGTGGCGCCAGGCATTGTTTTTTCTTCTTTTTTGTAAGTTTTTTCTTTTTTGGTTACGCCCACTTGGCTTGAGCACAGCAATAACGAGCAACGGCCGCAGCATCAGCTCATGACTGGAGGCTATACAAAAATCGATCGAAGCGTCGCCGTCGTCGTCGTCGCAGCTGGCGTCGCGATAGCTTCTTGGCGCTTAAAATGGAGCAGAGGCATTTAGCAGCGCTTAGCGCAAATTAGCAACAGGCATGCAGCGGTCTGGCAACGCCAGCGCCAACAGCACGCGCTGCCGCTGCCGCTGCCGCTGCTGCCGTCGCTATCGCTGTCGCTGTCGTCGCCGCTTAATGACGACACGACGCCGTACAGCAGCGCAGCGCGCTTTCTGTGCTAGCCCCCGTCGGTAGCCGTTGACGGCGACAAAAAACACGGCGCCAAGTGTTTGTCAAACGATCGGCCAACCTGTGGTTAGCGTTTGTCATGTCGCAGCAAACCCGTTTGACGACCTTGCATCATAACAATTTCTGGCGAACGCCAAGCGATGCGGCCTGTGCGCTTATTTATTATTATTGTGATTATTAAAATTTGTTTTCTTTGTGATAAAAAAAAGCCAAACAAATGCACAGAAACCACCAGCAAACATTCTGTGCCGAGCACACAGCGAAAAGGTGCCGTTGTTATCTGGCAACTGGCAATCCGCTCATTAGCGAACTTCTAACAGCGCCTGATATGTCCGTCTGTCTGTCTGTCTGTCTGTCTGTCGCCGGCTAGCCATGATTAAGTGAGCAGCTTCAGTTTTTTTTTTGGGATTTACATGGCGAATATGTGACTTGATTGAATTTATTTTTGGTATTTCAAATGATTGAGAGCAACTTGCAAAAGCTTTACTTACTTTAAATTCTGAGCACATGGATAAAGCTGAGAGATAAATATCTTAATTTGTCAAAACTGTGAGCTGAGAAATTATTTTTCATTTGGCTAATACTATTTGTTTGTTTTGTGTTAGTAATATTTAAAGCTGTGTTTATTATATTCTGAACTATTTTTGTTTCAGTTAGAGCAGAAAAAATTTAGCTTCAAGTTGTGCATTAATTTTGCTTAAAATGTTTTCTGCTTTTGTCCAATTTTTGTCTATAGTTTCACATTGCTGGAAATATTATGCATACGCACAGTTATCTTCAACATTTCAACATTTCTTATTTATAACTAGTCCGTCCCTTTTGTCTGTCCCTGTTGTCCTGCCTGTCGCTCTGTACATGCTTTTGGCATTGCATTCGCTGCCTGTCTAATGGTTATTATTTGAAATACTTCGGGGCGTTTGGGGCACTACGACTGGCAGGCGTTGCGCTGTATACAACATGTACAACACATGGCCGCATCCTGGCTGGACACTGGCGTCGCTCATGCAGAGCGCCAGACAGAAGACACAGCCACAGCGACGGCCTTAGATTTATTTAGTATTTGTATTTCATTTCACATATATTGCTGGGTTTTTTATTTTGGGTCAAAGGCTGTCCAGTTTTTTGTTGGCGCAGCTCGCTGGAGCCGCTTGCCTGCTGGGCCTAGAGACATGAAGCTTACTTAACATATTTCATAGTTACGACTCACCTGGCAAGTGCACTTGAAGCATTTGGCGTTCTGTATGCCTTTGATTTGCACCTCTTCGCCCTCGTTGGCACAGGATTCCATAATGCCTGTTGGGAAAAGAAGACAAAGAAGAAGAAAAATAAGTAAGTAATGGTGTATATTTGTCTTCTAATGCTAACAAGCTGCTGTTCTAGATGCCCAAACAAACTTGTCAGCCATAAATTGCTGGGCAGACTCACTATGACAACAACAACGATTTCCTGTTAGCTTAGAGCTGACGTTTTCAAATAAACCAAATAACAAATAATCAAATATTTAATTTACAATCAGACCTAGCCGGAAATTGCCCACTGACTGAGATGTTATCCAGCACGTGACCCGCAGCGCCGTTCCCAAAACAACAAAAAAGAAAGAAAAAGAAAAAAAAAAACCAAACAGGTCAAAGAGATTAGGCCACTTTATCAGCATTCCCCGTACAGCTTTGCGTGTGTGTATGTGTGTGTGTGTGTGTGTGTATAGCCAAACATGCCCTGCCAGATCAGAAAGCAACACACCTCCTGCGCTCTCGCGCACTTTGCCCCTCCCTCAACTCCTTGGCCGCTTGCATTTTGGGTTACTCTTTGTTTGGTTTACCTTCGTCTGCTTCTTGAAACTTCTGGCACCGGCGCTAAGTCAAAGTAGCAAACGCCGCATGTTAAACATGTTCCAGTCGACAGCACAGCAGAAAGAACAAGCGAAGTAGCTGCTGAGCAGTTGAAACGAAGTTGAAGATACCCTGTACTACAAGTATTTTCTGTTGTAATTAAATCAACTTTTATATATCTGTATGGAAGATACTCCATTATATGTATATGTATACTGTAAGACTGCTATTTAATATCTCTGACAATTAATATCTTATTAAGGGAAACTAAATTGTATACATGGTATCCCAGAGTACATCCAAAAGCTCTACCAAGTCTCTTTCTATCGCGCCTTACTATTATACAGGGTATTTCAAAGTAACGATTCGAAATGCTGCAGAAGTGAAACGCAACAAGGCAAACGGAAACGTCGGCACAGCGACCCCAGGCTGACTTGCAGGGCCCGTCCCGAAGCCCGGGGCTGGCTTTGTGGGACCACCTGCAATGTGCTGATAAACACACACACACACGCACACCCAGAACACGAACTCGGCGTGTTCGTTGATAAATGAAGACGCCGGCGCTACACACACACACACAGATTTACAAACAACATCCACAGATACAAAGATACAGTTGCAGTTGCAGATGCTGCAGCGCAGCGCTCTGGTGGCTCTGCTCGATTTTGGGCCCTTTGCGACATTATCCACATTTGTACTTCTTTCTGTTTTTTTTTTTTTTTTTTGGTATTTAGATGCTGTGTTCATTGTTCGTTTTCCTGTTATGCGTTTGTGTCCTGCTGTGCCATTTCTGTTGGTCGGTGCTTTTGTTTTTCGGGACCACCTTCATTCATAAACAAATTCATTGGCGCTCTAATGAAGTGGAAAAGTTATTTAGTTCCTATTGGAACTTTCTAGGTGGAGACGGATACGGTTCATGCCCTTCTCTTTTGGCTGGCTGCCCATCTAGCGGGCGACAGTTAATGAACCTTGTTCAAGTAACCCGATATCGAAATTGCAATACGTATATCTAATTTATGCGATTTTTTATTTCATTTAACACACTCGAATGCCATAAAAAAAAACCCACTCAATATGTTTTAGGAACACAAAACCAAAAACAACAAAAATTAACGAAAATAAAAAATTAGAAATATATATAAAAGAACAAAATAGAAAATAAAACTAAAAACTGGCAGCGATCAAATACGCTCAGTAGCCGTCCAGCCGGACAGCTGGCGACGCCGGACGCCGGACGCTGGACGCTGGCGTCGTCTGATTAATCACAATCACAGATTAAGCGCCAGCGCGAGACAGCAACGGCAGCGCCACAGCGGCACGTGTGGCCAACAGCGCGGAGGGGAGGAAGGGGGGCAGCTAGGCCGAGCAGGGCGGTTGGACGCTAGAGGCTAGAGGCTGGAGGGTAAAGGGTGCACAATGAAATGAACCGTCTTAACGGGCAGCCTATACAGTCCGTACAGAGCAACAACAACAATAACAACAACAACTACTACTCGTAATACCTCTGGGTAAAGGTGAAGGCCAACGAGTTGCAGGGTGAAACTGTCGAAACAGAAAGAGAAACAGAACCTCTCTGCTGCCAGGTGGCGAAGCGTCAGGTGACAATCGCTTGACAATCTCAATTGATTTCCATTCTATGGAAATGATCTTGAAACTAATGCTGAAAACTAGATTAAGAATGCGGCAAATTAGCCACAGAAAACTAAACGAGTTACAATAATCAAATGTTACATTGTGTATGCCAAAAGTAAATGTTGAAATTAGCTGGACAGATTCAGTTAGAAGTCTGTTACAGAGAAATATAGATATCTATAATATGGAAATATAGATACGCATATATATTTAATATTCTTTAAGCACTTATCAGGCTGCTACTGCCAGTCATGCCCATGGATATATGCTGATGCCAAAAAACATTGATTGGCATTTGCTGTAGACGTTTTAATATACAAGTCTTTAAATGCTGACTGATTGTTTCTATGGGAGTTAATGTCAAGAGACAAATGATAGATTGATTTAATACAGGCTTCGATATTTTTAAAAAACAAAAATTCTTTACATATTTAATATTATTTTTAGAGGGGCTCTAACTATGTTACTAACACGGAAAAGTAGTTTTAGAACTATAGAGTGCCTTAAGCATCATTCTAAATCTAGAACGAGATTTTCAATATTCAACAATTGTTCAACCATGATTAATGATGTTGATTTGTTGATCTGAACTCTCTTATAAAAGGTATAATATATAATTGCATATAGCTGTTAAGCTTAACAGTATTTTCTACACTCACCCGAAAGGCCCTCTCGAAATCCGGCTGCTGCAGTTTCCAGTTGATTCAGGGCAATCATCACCATAAAGACGAGGGTACAAATTCGGACCAGAATATGCGGCTGGCTCTTGTAGTTGTTGTTGTTGTTGCTGCATTTGTGCCTTTGGCTCTGGCCATGACATTGTGTGCTCTGTGTTGTTGTTGTGGTTGTCGTCACAGGTTGTTGTTGTTGTTGCTGTTGCTGGTCACTCGATGACGTTAGAGATTTCCACATGGCGTTAGATTTGCAACACATTTTCGCAATTTGTTGGCGCAAGTTCACAGAAATTTGCATCAAATTTGTATAGCTAAAAAACAAATCTCGTTGTAGGTGTTGTTGCTGTTGATCTTATGTGTGTGTGTGTGTTCTTTTTTGTATTCCCAGTAGCAGTTGTTGTCGTTTTCGTTGTTGCTGTTGTTGTTGTTGTAGCTGCTCTTGAAATATTGCTGAAAAATAGTGTTAAAAAAGATCAAGCCGGTCAGTTTAAAAATACACAGTGAGGGCGCCACAATAAAAACTGAAAATAGAAATTTGTTTGGTTTTTGTTTAGAATTTGGCGAGCTGTGCAGGTGTTTCATACAACTTGTGGACTTTGCTGGCCAGTGCGAGATAAATTTATTCGGGATAAATTAATGCAAGCTGGTCGTCAGTCAGTCAGTGAGACGGTTCTGATCCAGCCAAAAGATTTGCACTTGCCGCCTAGGGTCTAAATGGAAACCATTTGCCCGTTTGCTCTCAGCCGAAATTGTTGTTGGACGTTTTTCGAGGTTTTCGGTATTTTGAATTTTATGATGGCCATCAAGATGAGGCCTGGCCACGGGCCGGCCCAGTCGTCGGCAAAACACACATTTCACTCGATTTTCAGCTCTCACTGCACACAACACACTACAGAATTCTGCGAATCATGTTGGCCTGGTCAATATCCATCGATTTTGCACGTACGCCCAAAAGGTAAACTCCGTTCGGCCATTTGGCCATTGGGCTATTTGTCGGGTATCTATCTCTCTGTCTATCGATTTGTCTTTATGGCGGCTGTTAGGTGTTAGACAACTTGGACATTATTAGTTGCGATTTATGATCATGGGCGAGTGTGAGTCTGTGTGTGTGTGTGCGTGTGTGGCACACAGGTAATGCCATCTGATAGATATATGTGTGGTGCTCTTTGTTGTACGCCGGGTCATAAAAATGTTAATGATTTTTGCGTCTGGCGCCAGGCAATATTGTAATGCTTGTTTGACTTATAATTAATTTCATTTTTGTAGCTCTCCGCATAATTTTTATTATTTCTATTTGTCTTGGGCAATACCAAATCTTTCAGAGAAAAAACCAAAAATAAAAAATCAGGCAAAAATCAAAACAAACAACAACCACCTTAACATTTTTTTTTTTTTTTTTTTGCCAAGTTTATTGATTGTTTCGCTTCAAAGTGGCGCCAACATTCGCCGCTCCTAACGCCATGAAAGCGGATGCTAAAATAGAACTTGAACTCGATCTCAATAAAGCGATGAATCAGAAGTCAGAAATCACCTAATATAGTATAATGCATACCCATTCGATTTATTGGAAACAAAGTGGCTCTTTCTCGGGACTTGGCATTATAAACTAGCTTTATAGCCAATGGAATCGATGAATCAGTCTGTTGTTTACTACGCACACTCTGCTTACACCTTCTCAATACAGTCTCTGTGTGATCCGATCTATCGTGACGCACCCTAATGCTGGCTGCATTGTCATGCAACGAACTGGCAGATTGTCATGCCGAATGCGGTGCTTGACCTAACAATGTTAAAACAGACAGCCAATTAAAAAATTGTCACACAGACTGATAACGCGTCACACACACACACTCATACATACATACATACTATATACATATATAGAGAACACATTGCTATAATATACTCTATATATATATATGTATATGTTAATTTCTGCAATTGATAAGATTCACAGCGCACCTCGCAGAACAAAAGTCGAAACGGAACCTCATTTAAGCTGGAAATAACGTTGTTCGGTTGTCTGTTGCTGTTGTTCCCATTGCTGCTGATTAGCTGCAATTTGTCACCGGATTGCTGTTGACAAGGACAATGCACATGTATTATATGTATAGAGAGAGAGAGAGAGCGAACTATATATATAAATGCATATATGCTATTATATGCACGTATGCGTATGTTATGCAGCTGTGTTTATAAAACTCTTTGTATGCTGCTTAAGTGTGCTCATTGTGCGGGGTATATTGCACGAGGACAAAGCTTGTGACAGGCAAATTTATTGAACAATATTCACAGTTATACAAACAAATGTGTCCTATTTTATAGCGCCTATAATATTATTATAATTAACATCTCAACTTAAATAATGTTTTAAATTCACTTCAGATGTTAACTATGAAATGATATGAAGTAATACACCATAGCATAGCATTATAATAGTAGTTAGATTGTTGCCCAATTCTATTAAAATATTGCGTATCAACCGAAATAGAACGCCATTGTGTTGTGCAAACAAATTATTGTAACGAGCTGAACTCTCGATATCAAAAGTCAAGCCAAAACTCTAAAGAAAACACTTAAAACTACGCACTTTTGGGGGCGAGTATATTTATTTTGTGGCGCTCTTTGTACTGGGCCGAACTTAAGAACACACGAGTTGACATTGAAGTGGCAAAGCCCCCAGCGGAACATGGCGATAGAATCTTAACCAGAACTTCAATGGGAACCTTGTACTTGGTGCTTATCGTGTGCACCCAAAAATAAAAAACCTTACAAATAAATGTGTATGGGAAATAATATTTGAAGTCGAGGTTGATGTGCGCTGGAGAACACTTGACACGGCCCGAGTCGAGCTTATAAATAGATACAGAGCTGGCAGCTGGGTAAAAATTAGCGAGTTGCTGCTGCTGCTGCCGCTGCTGTTATTGTTGTTGTTGTTGTTGTCTTTTTTAATTTAAGACAAGTTACTATATAAACGCTTTGATTTAATTGACCGCCCAGCGGCCAATTGCATGACGACGCGTCGCGCGAATCGTGCCAATTAAATGGTAGGAGCAAGGGAGCAGCGGACATGGGCAGGGGCAGGGGTCACTGATTATGGGGTTTCGGTTTCGGTTACACAGTTTGCAACTGAGCTGAGGGGTAGTAGGAGGAATTCTAATGCCGTCTAGCTGGCGTCAGCCTGGCGTCAAGCTGGCAATTAAGGTAAGCGTCTCGCGGCCTGTCCCTTTAAAGGCGGCCCGGTAAAGGGGCGCAACAAATTGCCTTCCGAGCTGAAACAAAAGAAAAGGGTTCACGCCGAGCACGCAGACCTCTGTCTAGACCAGGTCTAACGATGTGCGGTAGGTAGCCGTTGAGGTGGTTAACATAAAAGCGAGTGCCTTGGCTGCTTGGCTGCTTCCTTGGTTGGATGGTTGGTTGGTGCGTGCGGAGGCTTATCGAAGAATTCCACTTAAAAACTTGGCCATTAGCGGCTGGGCAACTGGCTGCAACTGTTGCTGCCAATTACGTTGGCTTTTAGCCTGGTTTTTGGGCCTGGCATGTCGCCGCCTTTAATTCAATTAACTTCGGATCTCAGCACTAAAACAAAACACACAGACAGACACATACACACACACACACAACAAAAGAGGCACAAGATCAGTCAGTAAGCCAGAGGGACAGGGCACAGATAATAAACAAATGGCGCCAACAACAGCGACAGCAGCAACAACAACAGCTTTGGCAAATCATGCAAATTGTACAACAACAACAACAACAACAACAGCAGCAGAAGCAGGAGCAATAAAAGCAACAACATCTACAAGACTCAACTTCGTATCGGGCTAACAGCGCGCCCGATCGACAAAGTTGGCTCTGCTTGGCAACGTTGGCAACTAATTTCAATAGATTTGCATATTGAAGTCAGTTCGCCAACAACAATGCGAGACGGCCAAAAAGACGCACATTTGTCAACAGTTGAACAGTTGTTGTTGCGGGTCTGAGGGCATGGCCGAAGGCAGCTCGAGGGCCACAAACGGGCAATGTGATTGGGCACAATTGAATGCGGCGACAAGCGGCGCTTACAACTACGGCAAATGAAGACAGCAACGTGGACGTTGACGTTGATGGTTATCCAAGCAATAGCAACAGCAACAGTAACAACAACAACAGCAACAGACTATAACAAAGGCCACTGTGAACAAAATTTATACCCACAGTGGCGAGCCTATAAAAGTTGCTCCTCTGCCTGCCCCACACGACTGCATTTCGAGATTAAAAGTGACACAGCAAAACAAAAGGAACACTGCAGCAACAACAGCAACAACTGAGCCTATTAGCCTGTGCAACAACAACAGCTGAGAACCCGTCTTTTGTCTGCATGTCAGGCAGTTAAGGCCCTAACCCTAGCTCCATGCGCATAACAGACAGCACTCGCTATTGCAAACTGTGCCACACACTCAGTCAAGCCACACACACTCACACACAAACAGACAACATGGCCTGAAATGTCGGCCAACATGTGCCAAATTCAATTGAAGTTTTCATAAGTGAGTACTTGGACACATTTAAGATATCGCCTTATGCAATCATCAAACACTCAATCACTGCAAATGAAACCACATTTTCTTCAAGCTTTAGATTTGAGCGGTTCACGGCTCAAGCACCAGCGAATTTGGACGAAAAACTGTGCTTGAGTATTAGCGAAACGAATATGAGATTCAGATAAACTTTGATTATTCAAATTTTTGTTTAATTGCTAAACGATTTTGGTCAAAAAATGTGGTTCAAATTATGAAGACAAAAATTAAGCAATATATTTTGGCATGCACATTTTTCTCAAGGTCTAAAAATATTTGTTGTCAATTTGCAGAAAATATAAATATAAAATAAAATATAAAAATTATAAAAATTCTGTTCACTTTACAAAAATTTAGACAAATTTGTTAATAAATTAAATACTGTGTAAAAAAAATTATTTGCACATTATTCAAAAAAAAAAATCAAACAGATTTTATACTCTAGTAAATTTGTTGAAAAATGATAATTAATTGGAGAAATGCTAACCGGAAATAGATATAGATGTATTTATAGAAATGTGTCATATTTGAAGTCAGCAAAGCTAAGTCTGAGCTTCAGCTTGCTAACACCCATGTGAAGATTTATTTACATGCACACAGACACACATGCAGTTATCTGAAGCTTAACTGATTGATCACAGAATAATCTAAAGAGAGTTTCCATTGGCGTTTCCTGTTTTGGGCAGACTGGCAAATGGCAATTGGCAATTGGCAATCGGCGATACATGAACTTTTACTTAGTCATGGCTATGCGAGCTGCACAATTGTCGCAATCTGGTCCAGCTTTGCCATATTTGTATGCCAAATTTGAATATTGCAAAAAGCCCACACACAGCTACAGCCACACACAAACACACTCACACACACACACACAGTTGCAATGAGGGAGAG